TTTACTGCTAAGATGGGACCTGTATTAATGGACATGCACCGCCGGCACTGAATTCATCTTTGGAATAACTGAGAAAGTTTGCTCTCATTTCAGTCCCCTCTATATATATGTACGATGTGTGTAGAAGTAAACCTGTTTATCCCACTAGGGCTTTACAACTGATTTCCTTTCCCTGTACAAGTGCCATAATGACGCAAGTGTATTTGTTGTTGGATGAAAATAATGGCAACGACACTTAACTTTTAAAGTTATTTTGCTGCTGTGCTTGGTTCCTGATTCCACTTATCCATCCATTAAGGTTATTTTCATCTCGAGATGGGATGTTTATTGCATTTATTACGTAAACACCGTAAATCTAATGCTGCACCAGTCTGTAGATGTGATTATGATGGGATCAATTTGTGCTTTGCCCCATTTGTATTCGTACCGAGGGATGTTCATGCAACAGAGGGTAGTGATTGAGTCTTCTTGTGTAACAGTCAAGTTCATGGCTATTCCAGGAAATGATCTTGCAGTGTGTGCGTTCACCACAATAGGTGCTGTGGAACAGTAATTACAGTATCCCAGCAAGTAAATTCTTTTTTGTTAAGAGAGTACTGTTTGAAAGGATCAAGCAGAAGAAGAAATTTAAAAGAAACCCATCATGCTTGCAACCCAGTTGTTACCTGCACCAATCAGTTTACCATACAGGTGCAAAGGGTGAGATGTTACGTACATGCATCTTCCCCGCATGGTGGAATGGAGGATTTTAAAAGCAGCTCAACGGCTTTAAGATCAGGCTTAAGCACATTTATGTGTCCCATGGCCTTTCTGGCTGATTAAGTCAGCTGATGTGCAGTGAAGAGTAGTGCTAAACAGTCTGTTGAACTCTCGTATTGTAGGCAGCAGAAATGCATAAAACCGTCTTCCAAAAGCCACATGGGGAAAAAGTAAGGCCTTTATGATGGGAATATGCCGGCCTGTGTCATCCAACATGCATTTGGCTGCTGTAGGGTAGTGCTGAAATGGGGAGGAATTTTTGCATGATGATAAGGTGGGGAGTAAAAGCTAATGTAGGGAAGGACTTGGAGCCATGTGTTCACCCACCTGCCTGAAAGTATTAAGAACTCTAAAAGCTATTTCATACCGGTAGTCATAAAAGCCTCAGACATTTCCTCTAAGGGATCAAGATTTAATGCATACATGAATGGATTATAAGTCTGCCATGTCGAAATCTGAAGAATGAATAGGCAATGAATTTCACCATTACAGCCTTCTCAACAATTGATTTCCCCCAATCAAATAAAAGCAGGTAAGCATGTAGGATAATGTTTTGACCTGTTTTACTTGAAAATATGAAACTTTGTTCTCTTTTTTTTGGCTAAACCAGCAGTTTCATCTTGTCCAGGCAAATATGATTGAGCTCTGACAAATTTTTGATAATTTTACACTGCCAGGTTAAAGGATTTTACTGTAATCGTGAGCCCAGTCAATGAGGCCTAATGTACCATGATCAATACCTAAAGAGTGTGGAGTGTGCAATTTTAACAGGAACAAGTGTCCAATTATCGCTAAATAATGATCTTCTTACCCATCAGGGATTCACTTGTCTTCTGCCTAAAATTGTTCTTCATAAGGTGTCAGGCAGAGTCATTGTTTTTGCCATCAATCTTAGAAGGATTACCATGACATATTGGACAGAAATTCTGCTTTTTGAAGTATCTTCCATCAATCATTATTGACCCATTCTTGCCCAATTCCCTCTGGAGGAGTTGTTACATGCAGAAGTTTGAAATGTACAAAAAAGTCCTTCAAAGGAATCAAGATGTTGTGACTTCATTTTGAAAGGCTTTGTGATCCAAGACATATAATTTTAGATGCACTGACCTGTCTGACACCAATATGATCTCAAAACAAAATCCGACCAGCGCAATATTATGACCTTTTGTGGGGTCTATTTTTGGTGTGCCTAGTAACCACTGATAACTGTATATATACACTTTAATTAAAGTTGAAGTCCAATGTTAAACTTGTATGGTAGAGCTGCATATACACTTGCGAATTTAATGTTAGTCCTGGTAACACATGAAAATAGGAGCAATTCCCATAGATCTAGAGTCTGAGACCTGCACATAACAGAATGTTGTTGAAAGAAAAGTTTTCTTCATTTTACATGCAGAGTCAGCTATAAGGCCTCTAAGCCTGAAAGGCAAGAAAACCCATTTTTGTGATACTGTAATGGCCATCTTGTCTCTCCAGAGATGAGGACATTACCGTTCCTGACCTAAAACCTCATTACCAGTGCCCGGTGGCCAGTAAAAAGAACCATGTTTGTATGTTATAATTAGTTTTCTTCCCATTTTGTTATCAATTTGGCTTTCTGCTCAGCCTCAGTCAGGACAGAGAAATAAATCTACAGCTCCGACAAAGTCCCTCCCGGCTTCTCATGGTCCATGAGTGGTGGGACTGGGGGACAGCTAACGTTGTTTTGGGGTAAGATGGACGTGTGGCATGTTAACGTACTGCTGCTGAGATAAATCAGGCTGAAAATTCCCTCAGGTTCTTATTACTTCTGTCAGCCCAGACAGAAAATGCCTGCGGGATATAGATGGTGGGCATTTCATCTCGTGCTGTGTGTTTTATTTTTTTGAAGTTCAAACAAAATGAGTGTCATTTTGATAGGAGTCTTGATAGCCTCAGTGTGGCAACTGTATTGGAACGATAAACGTGAGAAATGGGAAGAGTGATGTGTTGGTTGAGATTACAAGTGCCAGAAGCCTTTACTTGAAATATTTCTGCTATGTACTCAAAGTAGCTTTGAGATTGGCATCTTGTAGTTCAAGGAGAGACCAGAGAGTGTTGCCTTGTATGCTTAAAACTTCCGGAAGTTCTCATACCTTAGAAGTAAAAGTTGCCTTCACACAGGAAGTTGGTAAGCTCTTCATCTTTCTTTTGACACCTGGAGGAAGTACCTTGGTAGCAAGGCTATCTACCTCACATGTACTAGTACTCAACTGTTCCAGCATGTGGTTCCATGTGTTTTCCTGCCTTATCTGGCCAGTCCCAGTCTTCCCTCGGTGTTGCATAAGAAGACTTAAGTGCCACCAGCCTTACGCTGATACAAGCTGAATCCCCTTCGTCTCCTCGTTACACTTGACCTGCCAGATAGATCAATGGATTTGAGGTGTCACTGGGAGGAGAGCAAGGCGTGGGTGTCACAGGTTACCATGCTTGCACCAGGCAGCATCCATCTTTCTTTAGCCATGGACAATATGCAGCCGAGGGTAAATGTTGGGGTGGAGTTTTTAAAGAGAAAATGTGTGTGCTATAAAGATAAGGGGTTTGAATTGAACTTGGAAAAATGCGAAACGTAGCTTTCTAGTTTGTGTTAGAGTTAAGAATTTATATTTTTATAGATGCCTGTGTAAATTTTCTTTGTGTGTGTATGAATAACTCCACCAGAACAGTATGACTCTTAAAGACTAGCATTACCCCCTCTTAGCTTTGAAAACTTTTGATCTACCGCTTCATAGGGTTTTCCCTTTATGCCTAATTTTGATGCTTGTACACAGTCTAGCCAAGCAAAGAAAGCACATGTACTAGCTTTAGCCGTCCCCAGTTGCCTTTTGGCTGTAACCGTTGTAAATGAGGCGTATAGATGAGCCTGCTACAACATTCGTCTACCCCTGTTCTAGAAGGTCATGACTGACAGAAGGTAAATGGCACCTTAACTCCATAACCCCAGCCATTTCTCCGGCACCTTTGCGAAACTTACTGCAGATTAGAAGCCATTAGGAATGTTAAGGTCTCCTCAATTTTTACCCCAGGGTTCTATAAACCTTTTCGGGGCACTTTTGCTGCTCCTGGAGTCAAGACCCTAACCTTGCTGCAGGGGTTGAAGATACAAATAGGCCTGGCAGAAGGCCAGGTAAAAAGAGTTTTTCCCTCTGCCTTGAGTTTATGTGAAAAGATTGACGATCAGTACAGTTGCTATTGATGATAAATGTAGACGTCAGACCTGGTTCTTTCAGAAGAAGCGGCGGCACAGGAAAAGTTTGATGGAGTTCATTTATGTCGTCCTAGCAGCGAGCTTCCTTCTTTCAGCGCTTTCAAATCACACCCTATAAATTTTGGCCTACTGCCGAAACTTGTAAATAGGTCGTAGATGCGTAAAGGTTGTGAGATGGACTTTAAAGGTATGTGCGTCACCCTGATCCATTCATCACATTCTGTAATGTACTTAAGTCATCACCAATGCCCATCCCTGGCACCGGCAAGCCATCGTCTAGACTTAGGGTCTGAGCCTTTGATTGAGAAAGCTGTTGGGGTTGTGATACTTCTCTGGAATCCTGATACTTTCATACCGCTGAATATTGCATCTTAATCAAAGTGTAAAGTTCAGATTGAGTATGGCACATCGTAAAGTCCTTACAAGGCTTAAGTAGATATGGTGATAGTAACCTACTTGAATACCTGACTCATTTAGAAAAGATGTCTTGCTTTGTAATGTAAGCACCAGCTGCCTGTAACTGATGACCAAACATCCTAATGAAATGCCTTCTAATGACAACTGAACCCTTTCAATTTTGAGTACTGATTACAGCATTTTAAGTCTCATAATGCTTCATCTTTTCACAGCTGTAGACATTACGTACTTAATTTTCTGCTTGTAATCTGTGTAAGGCACGGAAAAGCCTACATAATACTCGGTATTGCATTATATGTAACATAAGCCTTTATAGATGTACTTATTGCAGAAGCCATCTCTGATTGTTTAGTGTGTACTATTGACTGTACATAGAGAGGTTAAACTTTCCAGACTTCTCTCAAAGCTTCTTGCAGCAGATATATGACTGTAAGAAAATGACAGACCCTCCCAAGGTTTTACGCTTGCATGTCGTCAATGCGCAAAGTTGTTGATGTGCACTCGCCCCCTTTTGGGTGGTTTGATACACAGAGACATCAATGCCTGTGAGTATTAAAGCGATACTTATCTATGAATGTGATCTCTCGCTCTACAGGCCATAAAGGAGCAGCTAGACACGTTGGAGCCACAAGTGCGGTCGGCCCACGAGCGCAAGGGCGCTGCCATTTCTCAGGTGGCACCCTCGGAGCGGAAGAACATCGAGAATGCCATGTCCAACCTCAAGGTCGAATGGGACAAGGTCAACAAGGCCTATGTGGACAGATACAGGTAAGTCTCTTAGTATAATTTCTTGAACCTTATTGCATGTATTTGTTATCAGTCGTATTCTAGCTGTCTGCCTGCTCTTCAGACATTGATATGATATGATAATGATTTTTTTCTATGTCTAATCCTTCCATGAAATGACCTAACTCCCATTGCCCCAGGTCCTCCATTAACAGAATCATTGCTGGAATAAGATGAAACTCCCAAGTTTGACATTAAAATTGCTCTCAGGCCAAAAGATAGCCATCAGCCCCATAACAATGACATTACATGGAGCCCAAAGGCCTCGTAGAAATGCTGTTGATGACAGTACATCAACATGTCCACAAAGTTATCCCACTATACATAATCTCCTTTGTAGTTCATGCCACCAATTCTAGATTCTGAGGTTCATTCACCTTCCTCCTGCTGAGATGTGTTTTTGCCACCACATTTGCTTTATTATAAGCTTAGTTAGTAGGGAAAAGGTTCAGTACAAATGATGGCTTCATGCTACCAAGATTAAGATGATATACAATGGAAGCTAGATAGGCAATCATAGCTGCCTGTTGGTTAAAGCACTGAGTGAATCTAAATCTGACATTTCCTCTGCAGTCGCTTCAAGAAGTCCCTGGCCCACTGGCAGCAGTTCCACTGTGACATGCGAGACCTGACATCCTGGCTGAACGAAGCTGAGAGGACGGTACAGGACACCAAGGCCCCAGGAGGGGACTTGGATCTGGAAAAGGCAAGAGCACAGCAGAAGGTATGATGCTCCAACTAGATCAGAAAAAATCATGAAGACGCTCTGATAAAATCATTTAGAACTAAGATGTATTGATTGATGTTTGTTTTGGCATTAGAAAGTCTCTCAAATGATTGTATTGCTACACCAGGCTGAAAATCCCATTCATAAGACAGCTGCTTTACAGACGGATTTTTAAAACTTGTGGGTTGCCTTTTTCTAGAATTCCCCAAAGCACGAAGCTTTGCTCTGAGAGCTTGTGCACCCGACAAGTGTTAATGCCTGCACTTTACACAGCACTACAACTAAATCAATTTAGAGCACTCTTGACGGGGTTAGAGCCTTTTTGATTCCAAAGAGAAATCCAATACGATCGTCCCTGGCCCCTCATGAATAATGAATGCCTGAAAGTTAAAAAGTATTATGGTTTTAAGGACTTATATAGACATTGACAAAGCCATTGCCAATTCACAGGTTGGCCATCTGGGATCAGTAAAATGTGAAGGTTGTTTCGTCGAGGGATTGATTGAGCTTTTGAGGGATTTTCCCTTTGGGATGCTTGCTGCTTTACGTTCAAATGCATGACTGATTCCGATGTCACAGTCAACGTTACTTCATCAACTAGAACAGTGATGGAGTCGCAGAAAGGACAACTTGTTTCTGAGAGGAGCAGAGGTGGTCTCACAAGAAGGTTCCTGTTCTACTGGGACTGCTCTTTGTGGGATGTCAGATTACTGTAGCTGTAACAAGCTCTTCAGGAGATCATTGTTGAGAGGCGATGGATCTACAAATACTGGTTAGGGATGTGGTCATGAGAGGATTTTGCAGAATGATAATATCTTTACTGTGACTTTGGTAAAGTCTATTGCAATATACTGTATATGCTGCTGTACTGAAGGACCCACCCTGGTTGTTCATAAATGTATGGATTTTGTACTGACTAGAAATATATCTTAATCTTGCTGTTAGAGAGACCCTGCAGTCCTTGGTCTCCTCTCCCTATGGGAGCATGTACCAGCCAAATAGAGTTGTTCTTGTGGTTATGGAAGCGTTAAGGCATGCATGACTGCGTGGTGAGGCATGTTGCACAAGTACCTCGGCGCTGAAATCAAAGACGCTCCGGGAGTCTGCATCGCAGGTCGCTGGCGCGAGATATCGTGCCCGCCGCTCCTGGAATTATATGTCAGCTTCAATCTCCATTGATTTTTGTTTTCATCATGCAGAGATTAAACTCGTCCTGACTGGGAATGCTAATGTTTGAGCAACGTTGACACAAAGGGCAGGCTGGCTCTCACAGCAACTCTGTTGACTCCACAATGAGACTCGCAGATAGAGAGGAATCATCATATAGTGACAATGTTTGGAGATTTGAGAAGACATGTTTCTTATCAGGAGCATCCCAACTCCCATTTATACAAGTCAAGTTTAGATGCCTCAAGTGCAGTGAAGAATCTTTACCCTTATCTATCAATTCCAAGGGCATAGGATAACCTATACTAATCAGTCAACGTCAAGGCACTGAAAGCTGTAAGTTAGAACTTGGAAACAGTCCAGGGTGAAAGTTTGGTCTACGTGCATGACAATCCCATCCTGGACTACACTGCCCTCTGCATGCATGATTGTTGGCTAGAGTTCCCATCTAGAAGTGAACTGTGGGCTTGGCAGTTCAACCTAATATGTTTGCTCTTTGCTTGGTGTAAGGTTGAGTTATATGAAATCATATGTCATTTGGATGTTCTTTTTAATGTTAATTTAGTTGTCCTTTTGTTCAATTGATGGGAGAATGCCAAGAATGCTTTCTAGCAGCATGTCTAAGGTAATATTCAGCACAACAAAAGCATCAAAACAAGGTGGAGATCAATTGCTCACACACCAGAAGTGCTTCATTGATTTTGCCACCTGAGAAGGGTTTCACTGATAGTGTAGATTACATTATCAAACTTTACTGCCGGAGATTTGTTTCCAATTCTCCACGCTTCCATACCTTCAACTGATTGTGCGAAAATTGCAGCTTCTGTTGAGAAGCCTTTGTTAGGGTGTAATTGAATTGGATCCAATGTCTCTCCCCAGTAGGGAGGCTTCGTAGGTGTCTGTAATCTTCAGTTGCAAATGGAATACAAAGGGAAAGCTTTAAGCTTTAGTAAGG